GGCTTCAAAAAAGGGCCGTGAAACTATATAGAGGTTCCCGATCAATAATGAGGTTCCCACTTCTACGCAGTTTTCAGAACCTTTCCAAGATCCTTGTTTCTACGAATTTTTCTGAATATCTATGAAGCTCCCATAATTTCTACTATGTTTCCTCACTTTCTACGATGTTCCCTGAACTTCTTAGAAGTCCTTGCAGTTTTGCAAAGTTCCCAGAAGTTAAAGAAAAATCCCTAAGCTCATGGCCCATTTGTAAAGCCTGAACACGTCTTATTATGCCATCGATTGAATATCGATATAATATAATTTCTCAAAATCTTTCTTCTAGTCGAGAACATAATAAAAGTAGTCAACATAAAGAATTTTAACTAAATCTCTATTTTTAGTCTAATTTTATTAATCGCAGTTAAATAGTAACATCGGACTTGACAAGCTTAACAAAATACCGGTGAGTCTAATAAAAAATACACCAAATAATTCTGGATGGGGCCTGTCCCCTTGGCACCCCCATTAGCTACGCCTTGTATTTTATGTATGCGTGTGTGTTTTTGTTTGTTTCTGTAATAATTGTATAATCACAGAGCTCATATAACGTTGAATAGGATTGGAAATAGTGAAATATTTGTATCATAAATCATACTCCAAATCTCTTTCTCCCTCTTCACATCCATGAAACTGTCATCCACTAACCTCGAGAAGACCGCGAGTATTCGGTTGAATTCCTTTAACTTTAGATTAAAAAAATTAATAGTGCATAACGGAAATGATAAATTGACTCTGTAAAGTTTATTCGATTAAGCCTGTACAAATTAATTAATTAACAACAACAAAATATTGGAACACATCATATTAAGACAAATGGCGATAGCTAGTTAATCTACCATAATCCGTTTTGAGAACACTCGATGCTATTTTCACATTCGATTAAGTCTGCCTCAATAAATTGACGAATTTCATGCAAACCCTTTCAGATTTCAATGAAACTTTCTTTTATCTTTTACTTAAGAAACTTTGCATACTTATTTTATTAAAATCTTGACCATCATTTGAAAAGCGCCGAACTTATTTTCGTATATTTCCTGCACAACATTATATCTCGCAATTGATAAGTCCTAGAAAATTGTTGTCAAATGATGATTTGTTTGTAATTGTATAAGCTTGTATTAGACCGGAAATTGAATCCGCCACCTTCGGCTTGATAATACCGTGCATTAACTGACAGGGTTATCTAAGTGATGGCAGTAAGATTTATTAATTAAATAAATAAAAAGTCAAAAATAACGATTTAACGACCACGATGACGATGGATCTCAAATAAGAATATAACAGTAGATTACGCCTTTTGACAATACATTGCAATCGAAAAACTGACAAAGTAGTACAATTTAAGTGTTTCTGCAACCTGGACAACGGGTACCTGTTTTCGAAAAATCGACAGATACCCTACAATATGGGTATTTTCGGAAAGGGACCGACGTGTAGAAGCCAAGACAAGCGATGCCCGGCGTTATCGTTCCTTTATCGTCATCATGGCTTTCAGTTATTGAAAACTTGGTTAAATAAAGATGAATTATAAGTTGATGAATAGAAGTGATCGGAGAAGGTCCAATACTAGCAGTAGATTATGATAAGCATTTAGAAGTTCTGTTACAAAATTCTGATTTGTTCGTCCCCAATAATCTTCAGTTTCCTGCAGAGATAGAAATTCTCACTCAGCTGCACGATAAGCATTTCCTCACTCAAGCTACTTTTCGGTGACTTGTGAACCGTTCACATTTTCATCTCTCCTTTTTCACTGATAATTCATTATCCTCTCTCATACACAATCCGAAAATATCTCTCTTCAAAAACCAACGAAAATACTTTGTCATCACCCATTTGGCTCTGAAAACTACCAAAAGCGAAAAAAAACCACCCCAAATTGTTCTGTTCCAACACAATGTGATGTAAACAGTTGAGGCTTGGGAATTCGCCGTCTCTTTTGTTCTTCCGCTGATTAAATGGTTGACGGAGTGTGACGTCATACTGTGTTATCCATTTAAAGAGCGGCAGAACGAAAGGGACAACGATATCACATAGTATTTCATTGGTTTCAACCAGACTGGCAGATTTTTTTTATTTCCTTTTTATACCTTCTGTCAAATCATAAGGGTCATCCATAAATGACGATGCAATTTTCTTACCAATTTTAGACCTTATGCATGGATCGTTACAAATGTTGAAATCCCCTCTCCATTACTCCTCAGATTCTCGTAACTTATGGATGTGCCCTAACTGTTGTTTTTGTTCCTAATTTCTGATCATTGTTTGCGTGCGGAAAGTGAATTTTCAGGTGTATGAAAAAAGTGAAAAATCATTATCGGCATGAAGAATTCACTGAAAACGAAACGATTTATCTGCCGCTCATGCTCTCCGAAAAAATAAATCGCTGTTGCTTTTCTCGCGAAAACTGCTGTGAGCGTATAATATTCTCTCGCTTCTCACATTCTCATCTATTTCTCCTAACAGGTGAAAAATGACGTTGCTCTCCTCAAGTAGGCGAAAATTTCGATCTCTGGTTTCCTGTAATCAACTGTGGAGTATCCATACTATTTCGACATATCACGTGCACGATAAAGGGGTGAGGTCGTTAGGCAAGTGTCCACGGTTCATACAAATATTTAAAAATGTGTATGGGTGATTATGCACAAAGCGTAATTCTTAAACATCTAGAAAGTTAACGAAGTTCCTAAAACTCCCTAGATCTTCTACAAAATTCCCTGAACTTATTCAAAATTCGTTACACTTATGAAGTTTTACGCAGCTCCTCAAAATACTACGAAGTTCACATAACTTCTACAAACTTTGCTGCACTTCTACGTTTCTCATTTATTTTCTGGAAAGTTACACGAATTTCTTAAATTGGTACGTAATTTTCAAGACTATTCCAAATCCATAGGGCTTCAAAAAAGTGCCGAGAAATTATAAAGAGGTTTTCAAAATTATTTTCATTTATATGAAGTTTTACGCAGCTCTTCAAAATGTTACGAAATTTGCAAAAATTCTACAAAGTTTGCTGCACTTCTACTTTTATCGTTGCTTTTCCGCGAAGTTCCACGAACGAAATTTCTTTAATTTGTACTATAACTATTCCAAGTCCATGAGGCTTCAAAAAATGCCCTGAGAAGCCTCCGATAAATAATGAGCTTCCCTGAAATAAAATCATTTCCCTTAACTTCTACGAAGCTCCTCAAACATAAAAAAAAGTTCCACTTCTACGCAGTTTTCAGAACTTTTCTAAGATCTTTGTTTTTACAAATTTTTCTGAAGATCTATGAAGCTCCCAGAATGTCTACTAAGTTTCCTCACTTTCTACGATGTTCCCTGAACTTCTTAGAAGTCGTTGAAGTTTTGTGAAGTTCCCAGAAATTAAAGAAAAATCCCTAGGCTCATGGCCCATTTGCCTTTTTTTTTTTCCTTCGGTTTGTTTTTCGTCGATCTTGTTTTCCGTGCTTGAGCACCAATGCTACCGACGCCAGGGAGGCAGCTCCCACACCTGGACCCTACCTATCGACTCATCAACTCATGAACCGGGGACCAACGGCTTTACGTTATGCCTCAGAACATCCCGGCGGCGCCGACTGGGATTGAACCCAGGCCTGCTGGGGTGAGAGGTAATCACACTTACCACTACACTACCGGCGCCGATATGTTCCGTATGTTATTTTGTTTTGAAATCCTGAGCACACAGCATATTGATACCTTACAAAATACAAGTTTGCTAAATATAGCCACAAGACCGAGAGATTAATCCCTGGCCCGTCCACTTCCTTGAAATGTTTCACTATGCCTTATTCTATCCCTACTACTATTATCAATCTGCCAGCACGTTTACAAAACGAATCTTATGGCTTTACCCTCCCCACTAACAAACCTCCAAACTCCTATAACACATATGAGAAGTCGTAGAGTTCTCTGCATCTCTCTTATGTAAGTAGACAACTAACAATCCTTCCTATTCCCAGTAGCTGCAAGGACCTGGCCACTACAGTTCTCAATTATTGGATGTAGTGCTACTTCCATCTAAGAGGCAAAAATCAATCCCAAAATCTCGGTCAATACGGTTACGGACGGAGGTGGAAATACTCTCAAGCAATGTTCTAGGACTTGCAACACTTACGAATGTGTGCAACTTGCTTTATGCGAATGCGAATGCGAAGTTCGCTAAAGATTGCAAGTAACCATCTTCTTGTTGGGTGGGTGTTATTTTTATATGTTTCGTTTAATTTATTCCTACAATGCCTTCGAGTATTGTCTAAGACTATAACAATAACTACACTCTTTACCGATCAAATAACATCTTCCTCTTGGTTTGTGAAATGTCACTTATTCCGAGTGAATACCCCCAACACTCAGTGCAAAAAACACTAGATATCGCACGAAATCGACAGTCAATCGACCAAGCCCTGGTGATGACATATTTCAATGAATCATCCTCTCAAGAGTTCTTCAGTTTACTCTTCGAAATCGGACAGAACAGCGCAGCGGTAGAAATTTGTCCATTGATTGTGGTGCATTTGCTTCATGTTTGTTTGTTTTTTTGAAGCTCGATGTGGATGGCAAACTTGTAACAATCCAATCAAACTTCCAGTGAACAGTATTGATTTCAAAAACTTACCGATACAATTTCTCAGACAGTTAATGCTAACTGGCCAAAGTATATAATTGAATTTAGACTTCAACATCAACAAAAACCAATGGCTATGGAATACAACTAGATGAGAGGGATACTACTCAAACTCACAACATAAGAGCCTTTCAAAAACAGAATACAACACAACACGTAGGGTAACAGGTTATATTTCCAACCTGTATCTCTGATTGACGGAGTTGTATTATCTGATTTTTCAACTTACAGATAACAGACAATTTACTACAAAATGTTGTCACAAGCTAGTAACGATACACCCAACAGAAAATCATCGGTTAACAATAGAAACATTCACTCTCGATGAAGTACTTACCCAATCCCTTCTGGATCTCCAGCTCGAGGGCTCTGGTTTTCAGTCGTTTAAGTTTATCACAGAACTGTTCGCTATCGATTAACTTGACTCCATCTAGCAGTTCACCACTCCCTCCTCCTCCTTCGTCAGCACCTCCACCACCATCCTGGAATGCCTTCAGAATCTCGTCGATTTTGTTCTCAAGAATATCGCCCAGCTGCCGACTTTCCGTAATCCACTCCTGACGTTCTTTTGTCCTGCCAGAGGAGAAAAGAGAGAAGAGGCTAAAATTAGATTCTTATCGGTCCGGAATGAGATTGTGAGTGTGCTGAAGCAAAACAAGTGCCTTTGATCGGGTTTTCCGATATGGTTTAACCACCCGGATAATCTGGATCATCGTTAGGATGTGTTTATGCCATTGATAGCCCGTAGCCGTACAAGATGAGTACCATTGTTCAGCCGTTTTCCATATGGAAAGGGTGTTGGGCGTTGGCAGGGTTTCATTATTTATCCTAATTTAATTCTCGATTTCAACAAAGGTTAAATAACTTCATATTTCTCTTAGCCAACAGATTAAGAATAAAATTCTTCCTCAAAAAAGATGCATGTTAACCGAGTCGATAAAAGAAATAATTATTACTTGCATCGAATGAAATAAAATTAAAAATGGCTTACTAATAACCATATATTTGATTATTTTTCAGCGTCAAAACCAAAGTAAAAGCGATGTAGGTGAAATCAAAAATCAACTTGCGCGACCTTTAAACCTTCATGACTATTTACCTTTTTTGTACAAACTCAAATCAAACTGGAGGCTGGCGTATAAGGTAGCAGATATTTTTTTTAAATACACCCCTTTTGCATAGTTTGTTACTCTAAAATGGCTAAAACAATGGAAAACGACCCATGAAGATGATAAATTATCCGCAGACGAAAACCAATGAAAAAAAAAAAAATAACGTTTATATATAAAATTTTTGTTACCCTGAATTTAGCAACTGAATACAAGCATGCCTCGATTCAATATACACCACATTTCCTTCGCCGATTTCATGCATACGTCATGTCAATTCAAAGTGTTTTCATGTTACCTTCATACGCGAAATTTGCGATTTTCAGAGTAGGTTGGAAATGCTATCTAACATGATTAGTGTGACAATTTATTAGCTAGAGAATGTTCTGAGATGAGGGTAGGTGGATAGTTCCGTTAGAGTATGGCAGTATGAAAAATTGAATAGAAGTTGAAAATGAGCGTTAATGCAACAGTACAAAGTCAAACGCACACTTCTTTGCCTAACCCGTACGATATACGTGGAAGTTTGAATTATGTCTTCAATCGCTGGGTTTAAACGATCGAAAGCAAATTTTATTATCTTTAATTTGTCGTTAAAATAAATAATATAGCTTCCTTACAGTCGAAGATATTTGTATTTTAGTAAACACATTTTTTAAAGTGAAATTAATTGTTTCAGCTATATTTTGAAAACTACATTTTTGGATTCAGCATACGATTTTACATGGGAAATGACCATCAGCGTACAAAGATCAAATATGCTGTAAACAGCTATAATAGCATGCTGTGGTTGTCAAAGGCGTTGATTTTTTCCTGAAATAACAATATGAAGAAGAAGTCAACAAGTCGTTTACTACTTTGAAAATTCTAAAATAAAAATCCTGGACATCTTGTAAATATCAGGAAACAAAACAGAATGTTTTCTTTAACTAATCATGTTTGTATTGCTTCATTCACGCATTAACGATTTACATAATTGGAGATGCTTAACATCAAATATCAGACTTAAAGTGGTCAGACTTTAAGTTCCGTTAGAGTACGACAGTTTGAAAATTGTATATAGAGGTTGCGGTTTGATCATCTTATTTACCAAACTTTATACCCCTTAACATCCTTTCTCAACAAGGGAGATTGGTAAAGAAGATTATTAAAAAAAGGTCTAATTTACACCAAATTGAGGAATTGAGTAACATGCATATTAAACGTCTAGTCAATGTTTCTGAGCTCTATTATTCGATTCCATTCTATTGTTTAAAAATATTGCCGCGAAGACCATCCTGGATGATAAGTACGATTCCAACCAGCGAGCGATCCATGGAGGTATACCAAGGTGGCTTAACTTCGTGACAACAAGATTGTGGGGAACTTTATCAAAAGCCTCAGATAAGTCAATAAAGGGTGTCCACGATGAAATTGCCACACACAAAATTGATTCGCAAAATTCGAGTTTTCATCCGATTGCCATCACATTTTCAGGGATTGAGAAATAACTATTAAACTTCATTTTACCATTTTACTCGTATTTTATTTACAGTCCATACGCAAATGCCCGCACCTTGGCCTTAACCCCGGCCATAAGATTCTGCACAACCTGTGAATCAACCGTTTTTTGCATGTAAACCCATACTTTCTTCAGTTCCTCGACTGTCTTCACTACCTTAGGTCGTTTAAGAAGGTGCTGCTTCATAATCGCCCAGTACTTCTCGATGGGGTGGAGCTCCGGAGTGTTGGGAGGGTTGAACATTTTCGGCACGAAATTGACCTTATTGTCCGCATACCACTTCAGCACGTCCTTGGAGTAGTGGCATGAGGCCAAATCCGGCCAGAAGATTGTTGGGACGTTGTGGGCCTTCAGGAGAGGAAGCAGCCGCTTCTGGAGGCACTCTTTTATGTACACCTGTCCGTTCATCGTGTCCTGGGTCACGAAAGGTGCACTCCGCTTCCCGCACGTGCAGATGGCTTGCCAAACCAGGAATTTCTTCGCAAATTTGGACATCTTCTGAGTGCGGACATGCTCCGGAACGCTGAACTTATCCTTGGCCGTGAAAAACAGGTTGCCGGGGATCTGTTTGAAGTCGGCCTTCACATATGTTTCGTCGTCCATGATGCAGCATTCAACTTTCGTCAGCATGTTGAGGTACAACTTCCTGGCACGGGTTTTGGCGGACTTGTTCTGCTTCTCGTCGTGATTAGGGGCCTTTTGTACCTTGAACGTTCGAAGCCCAGCCTTAGTTTTGGCCTTCTGGACAAAACTTCGGCTTACGTGCAGCTTCTTAGCCACATCCCTAACGGAGGCGTTCGGATTTCGGTTGAAGGCCCCAACTACGCGGTTGTGATTTTTGGTGTTGTACGGAATACTTTTTCCTTCACTTCTGGGCTTCCGATCGGTGGTCAACCGTTCCTCGAACCGCTTAATCACTCGCGACACCGTGGAATTCACGATTCCCAACGTTTTAGCGATGGAACGATGCGAGAGATCCTTGTTCTCGTGATGAATGCGCAAGATTTTATCACGCACGAGCTGTTCTTTCGACTCCATTTCCGCGAGTTTTGATCACAGGACTTTAAAACTTGCAGGATGTAAATAATGCACTATGAACTAAATCCACCCAAATTTTCATTAAATTCTACCCAACGGTTAAAAAGTTAGAGCAATTTCATAGTGTGGCAATTTCATCGTGGACACCCTTTACACTGAATCAACTTGCTGACGCTTCTTGATGCTACCAATCAGAGTGTTAGTGTAGGTCATCAAATTGGTAATTGTAGAGCGTTTCTTCATAAAACCATGTTGAAACTCGGACATTATGGATTGGCCAGTCGGGTACAACTTGCCATGCAGAAGGCTTTTCAGAACTTCGCCAAACAATTCAGAATTGAGAATGGACGATAGTTTTCCACGCTGTGAATGTTACCTTACTTGAAGATTGGAGTAATTGACGTAAGCTTCCAGGTGTCAGGGAAAAAGCCATCCAGAAGTGATCTGTTGAAGCTAGCCATGACGGGAGTGCTGCACAATACGATCCGGACCTGGACCTTTCGAAGCGTTAACAGAACAGAGGGCTTTGTGGATAGTATCATGACTCAAATTGAGCTGCTGCAGACGAATATAAAAGCTGGGTAAAATATCGATATATAGCTGCGGGGTTGGAGCCTGATCGACTTCGCGGGCGGTTCGTAAGAAGTCAGCGAAGAGGTTTGCAGAAGTAGCAGAATCGGAAAAGCTTTAACTACAATAGGTGACGTCCACTGGAATACAAGCTGAACCTTTCCGAGAGTTTACAAAAGTCCAGAAAGATGATGGATTATCCTTGAATCAATTCTGTACTCTCGAAAGCGAACGTCATGCAAACTAGAAACACTGGAATAAGAGACCAGCGGAGACACTGTTATGATTCCAATCGAACTGTCAAAAGCGGTTCCAAACTGCAATGTTTACAAATGGTTTGCTTCGATTAGGGAGGAGTATTAAAATCGTTTAACAATCACTCATGAACTCGCTCGTCGGTGCATTGGCGAAGTCACTCGCAAGCAGTTACAAATGCAAGTGATGCCAGGATTGCTTTGATGTTTATCTTGTTGCCAAATTCATGTTTTTTTTTCTCCGCTGGTACTTATTCCAGTGTTTCTAATGCAAACCATCGTACTTGCCTTCTGCTAACTGTACGGCAGACCTATTAGCAGAAGTCTTAGAGCGAAAGTAACGTTTTCGTGCCTTCCGCAGACGATTGCGCAGATTACGCAGATTACGCAGTTGTGGATTCCACCAAGATTGGTGGAATTTTACAAAATGTAAGTTGCGGCTTACCTACCAGCCTATAGCTGGCCCGATTTACCCCGCCGGGGCGGCTACGAGCAGAGTACTTCCCCCAAAGACGTTCGGATCTGGATGGATTTATAAGAAAAAGAGAAAGCAATATGAAATTAAGACGTCTATTGACTAATCTGACCTTTCCCTATTTCTCCTCGTTGTCCTTGGTGTCACTCGGTGGGGCCCTTCGACGATAGCGGCGGCGGTTGCTGTTTGTTCACGTCGGCTCCAGACACGGTCGGTGCCGAGTGTCTCCCACTTCATTTTAGCTGCGTAGCAGCGGTCCTTGGCGTTTAGCGGGGGGATGAGCAAGGCTCCTTTATCGGAACCCCCTCGGCGACGATGGTGACGAATCACCGGACCAACTACTCGCCGTAGATGGTCCCGGTAGTCACCGCAGTGCACTACCCAGGCGAACGCTCCTTCGGTTCGGCCTGCTTCGTCCCTCCTTGGCTCTTAACTGCGGTGGCGAGACTGGCTCTACTGGCTGAGCCACCGCAGTGAGGACGGTGGGTGTTCGGGAATCCTTGGGGGTTAGCCGGGAAGCGGAAAAATCCTTGAAATTTAGCTTCCCTTGGCGGTGATCTGACACCCTTCACTTCAGCTCACGAACCACGGCACTTTTCAAGGAAACGACGTCACTTTCACGCGACGATGCTGGGAATTATCCCTCCAGCGGACACACGCCACGAAAATGGCACTCCAACAACTTAAACGGACCGGGCAAAAAACGCGTCGATTTCCTACAGTGGCTCGTAACTTTTTTGTTCCTACTCCTAACAATCACGGACAATACAACAACCGCCATCGTTCTCCTGCAACCGCGCTCGAATGTTATGCTGCTTATGTTTTTCGCCTTCTATTGCAGCGGGAGGAGAAACGGGACCTAATTTTATACTAAACGCGAGACAATTTAAATCGACAATTTTTACATTACATTCTAATCCTAAAGCCTACGTGAATAAAATCTACTAAGAAAACAACAAATTAAAATATTTACAAACAAAGCAGTGGTGAGTATGTTGCCGAGCGTGTGACCAAAACAAAAACAAATCATAAGAGACAAAGCACACGCTCATGGCAAATACGTTAAAAGGGTGGGTTGTTAATTGTCACCCTAGACGAGGGTTACAAAAAGCCATACGAGTTTTAGTCGGGATGGTGTTCTGAATTATTTCATATATGTTGTCATAAAAACGGATACGATCCCAAGTAACAATTTTAGTTTTATGAGGGTTCTGTAAACCACGATTTAGACTTGTAGAATGCTATAAAACCGTAATAAAACCTGCAATGTTACATGGCGTGGCATCAACGCTTGGGAGCTCAAGTAAAGAGTTTGTTTTAGATCTCCGCCGAATGCTGCTTTTTGGTTCAGCTCTGATACTATTTTCGGTCCTAAGCTAATCGATGCACCCCTCGAAACATAAAAAAAAATCCACTAACCCCTCATTTTAACTGTTAAACTTTCATAGCGAATCAAAACAAACATAGTACAGTAATAGAATTTCGACTAGAATGGGGTACGTTAATCGATTTGCTTGGGATCAATAGGCTAGTCAACTGGAGAGCCAATTTAAAATCGTTAGTTTCCACCGGTTGGTACAATCATAATCTGCCATCTGTCATTTCTGCGGCTCCCCGAGATGCTCCATCAGCTGACAAACCACGAAAGATTTTTGTCAGTCGTTCGGACCGTTTGGGGTCTAAATCGCGTGTTCTGTCGATCTATTAGCAAATTGAAAACGGTGAGGTAAAGGTGATACAATCACCGGAGAGAGCTTATTTTGAAGCCCCCTCGGATCTCCAGTTCAGTGATCCTTTTATCTCCGCCTTCAGTTCTTCGATCACTTTTTGGTTCAACATCTTTCAGTTCTATGGTGTTTGCATTCATTGGCGTTAGCGTGTTTTTAAAGCGTGCATTTACCATGATGCTCCGACATCATTTGCACATCCAAAAAATAGTGGGGCCCGTTGATTATTTTTTGTACAAAGTATACGTTATTTTGACGCAAACGACTTCTACAATAGTCATGGCTATTGCGCAACTATTACAGATTACCATTTTGCACTTCTTCTCCTTCTCTTCTTCTCTATTCCTTGATTAAACGTCGGCCTCTGTTCCGCAATCTAGTGCCAATCACCGACGGTCATCGATTGTCATCCATTGACGGCAATCGAATGTGCAGGAAGGCAGTTTCCACACCTGCGTAGGATATCGCACCCATTCAAACACACATGGTCCGGGACCAACGGTTTTACTTCCCTTCTTAAGGAAGACGTGACCAGAGATGTTTATGCCTCAGAAGAATTCCACCAACCTCGGCTGGGATAGAACCCAGACCGATTGGGGTGAGAAAGTAGTCTACACCACCGGCGCCGGCTATTTTGCACTTGAACAAAATAGTAACGTGTGAGCACCACATTCTACTGTCAAATAATAAAACCGGCAGATCAGCAGCAACGGATACAAGAAAGCAGGCAACACTGGTTCCTTTGACAGATGTGGTATATTTAGATCTGAGTACTGTGAACTAACTCAAAATGCTTGTCATCTGAGAGCCGAGTCAAACTGTCAAACGGGAGCCAAACATTCAAAAGAGCTCAGAAATTACGTAGGTAGTTACTGTTTGAACCACAAGTAAAGGTGTTGCCACCTACTGAAAATAAATTAAAAATTATAATTATGAAACTGTCGAAACATCAACCTTAGTAGGCGGATAATGTAAATCATCGAGCGTGGTGCTCGAAAAAGTGTTTTTATTTAATATTAATAATGCCAAAACTGGGTTGCTGAAACAAGAATGTAATCAAACTTTATAAGAGTCATGTGAGCCTTAAGGGCAGGTGCACTCCCATCCCCATGTATACGTTATTTCTGGAGCAGAGGAGGAGGAGCCAAGAGTTCATTTGACAGCATGTATTAACAATTTTGTGAGCTGTTTCAGCAAAACAATTTGAAACTTCGGAAGATTTTCAAGATGTTTTCTAGCTCACTTGAAAAATAAAATCGGCTGAGTTCGCAGTACTCAGATCTAAATCACTTTCTTGTCAATTTGTGAATCCCATGAACACTGACGCAGTGCCAATACGATGATGGAATAGAGATCTCCAAGCGCAATCTCACGAACACTAAAATCTTAAGCGGTGCCGGGTGGTGTAGTGGTAAGCGTGATTACCTCTCACCCCAGCACGCCTGGGTTCAATCCCAGTCGGCGCCGGCGGGATGATCTGAGGCATAACATCTCTGATCACGCCTTCCTTCGGAAGGGAAGTAAAGCCGTTGGACCCCGGTTCATGAGTTGATGGGTCGATAGGTAGGGTCCAGGTGTGGGAGCTGCCTCCTTGGCGTCGGTAGCATTGGTGCTCAGCACGGAAAACAAGATCGACAGAAGAAAAAAAAATCAAGAAAAAATAAATAAAATCCAACATCCATATAAATGAAGAAGAAGAAGAAGAAGAAGAAGAAGAAGAAGAACCAAAAAAGTATCGCAAAATAGTAACGCATGATACAACGGCAGATCAGTAGCAATGGATACAAGAAAGCAGGCAACACTGGTTCCTTTGACAGATGCGGTGTTTCTACACACTTAGAAAAAATCATGTAAATTTAGGAGCTCTGAGACTGACATATACAAGCGTCAATTTTAATATAAAATTGAGTCATAACAGACACAAAATTCAACTCAATCAAACGTACTTTCCGTCGAGTAACGAACTTTTCAGTCTCGGAGCACTTAATTTTACATGACGTTTTGGTTTACGTCTGATCCTTTATGTCAAAGATGGATTCCGTCACGTGTAAAATTAGATATTTGTAAGTGTGTAGATCATTTTCTTGTCAGTTTGTGAACCCCATGAACACTGACGCAGTGCCAATACGATGATGGAATAGAGATCTCCAAGCGCAATCTCACGAACACAAAAATCCAACATCCATATATAAAAATGAAGAAGAAGAAGAACCAAAAAGGTATCGCGATACCACAACTACTTAAAAAGCTTTGTGCATCTGGAGAACACTATGGAATGGATGGAGTGCTATAAAGTAGAAGTCAACTTACAGAGAAATAAATAATGTGTGAGCATTTCAGATGATTTGCTAAAACTACGTCACTTTCTTTACTCAGTAGAGGAAAAGTTGGCTTCGACAATACTTTAACCTATTATCGTCAGGGGGGTAAACAACGTCCTTGAGAGCTCAATTTTGGCATGTGCATACATTGTGTTTCAGAGCAACTATTGACCAAATGTGAGTGCTCTAGGACTTTGTTTACCCTCTGACGATAATAGGTTAACGTATTGCCGAAGCCAAATTTTCCCCTACATATATTGCTTTTCGATCCTTTTTCCTTATGGTTTATTGCTCCACTAAAATTCATTCGAACTTTTATCATTCACCCCTTCAAAATAAAACAAATCTACCCCACCAATTAATCATAAATTATGCAAATCAAGCCACAGATAAAAAGGTTACAATTTCCCAAAATATCTATCGACTATCCAAAAAAAAAAAACAGCATTCAACTGCCACCGATCGAAGACCCATCAATCAACACAACAATCACCATATTTCTTCCACATGTAGTCAAAAAAGTCGTACACCCAATACATACTACCCATTACACATAGGTACTCACCTAAATTGCGTCCGTAGCACGAACTTCCCCGTGGCCGAATCCTCCTGGTACCATTTCCTGAGGCACTCGCACTCGTCCGCCGTCGTGCGCTTGCTGATTGCCGTAAAAATTTCTGAATCTAGCTTCGTTGGGAGCAAAAAATTGCCCAAACGTGATCCTAACAATATCTTTTTTTTTCATTGAATGAACGCCGCAAAGAAAACAGAGAATAATAAAGAGAAAGCGTCAATAAAATATGTTCGATTGAGGATTGCAAGTCTTACGCACGAGGAACGGCCGGGCTAGACTGTTTTCCCAACACAGTAGAATATGGGCAATAATTTTTCCCGAGAAAATACCAAAACCATATAATGATGGGAGGAGGAAAAGTGTAGGGTGGAAAGCGGAAAAAACGGGAAAAACGCGTTTATACACTCATCTGCGTAGAACATAAATCATCGTAACTTCGACGGGTAGCGGATCCTTTTGAAATCATCGAGCCTTCGTTATTGTTGGACAATGTTTTTTCGCTTTTTACGCCAGCTCAACCGAGTTAGGGTGGTTGATCGGGCCAAACGGGAAACGGTGATAAAATTGGAAATTTCAAACGAATGGTTAAACTTTATGAGCTAGGGAAGCTATCCAATAACGATGTTATTATGTGATTATCACATTATCGCTAGGTATTTGAGAGTTCCTATTTGATTATGTGAGATTCCAGTTAGCAGTAAGCGTGAAGCGGCCAGTCTTAAATAAGACCGTACTGAGGGTTATACGAAGAAAGGAATTGGGTGTTCATTGAAGGCTTCCACAGAAGTTGTTGATTGAGAGTTTTCCAAGGCTCAACATGTGCTCTTCGCCTGTAAATTTGAGATTATTTTCATTTCGATTAGATCTCCACCATTTTTGTGCATTCATAAGGAATCTTAATTAATGAGCAAATGGAACTCAATTAAGCTACGACCAGCTGATTGGCTGAACACACTGATTTTGCAACCATCAAAATTGCACAGGTATCAAATCGGCCAAAATTAATTTTCTCAACCACACAGAGCTGAGGCTTAATGAAAAACATACCTTCAATCGCTTTCATTAGTCCTCCACTCTAGACTCATTTTATCCCACAAATTCTGACCAGACAAACACCGTTCGAGAACAGAAAAAAAAACAAAAATCCAGAATATAAACAGATCATCATTTTATCTTGTCATGATTGCCGAAGGAGCACCACCCGTCGTGATGAATATGGATTTATACGTTATGGCAATGATAAGCTAGTTTTGTGTGTGTGATTTTCACGCCAGAAGCAAAGAAAAAAAAAATAATCTCAGTCATTTTTCTCCATTCGCTCCTCATCGCATAGATATCGAGTGGGTTTATTGTTTTGACACATCCATGTCAAATATTGCAATACCGACCATCACACAAAAACAGGCTCACACACACACACAATGGAACCATAATCGGAATTTGAATCTGGTAAACGTGAGGGCTTGAGCCTGTCACCAAAGTGGATATGTTTATTTGCCTGATAAAATAATATGATTCACTGAGCACTAGGATTCTGGTGAATTCTAATATTGGGAGGCATTTTTTTCATTGAGCTTGCATCGAAATATCACCTAAGCTGATCCTACCTATATGGTTGTACATGGGAATATGGGAAGGGCTATGAATTCATGATTATCGCGTCACTTTTCAAAAGGTCATAAGTAACAAATGTAAACAAATCGAGTTAAGCGATACAAACTATTGTTCTTCTATCATTGTATATGATACAAAAAACCCATCCAAATTTACTTTCATTTATTTAAGAAAATCATAGGTAAAAAATTGTCCAATGTACAGTTTGAAATGATGGGTACATGATTGTTACTTCGGTCATTCGGACTGCCTAACATGATTGGTGCTCATTTTCTAAAGGCGGGGCCAATCTAAAGTTAGGTATTCTACTCTGAAATCTGTGAAAGGGAATCTAGTATCAAGTAGAACAAAACGTCCAATGTAACACTCATTGATTATGTCATTGAGAAAAATCATCCAATATAACATGTCGGATGTACAACTTGACTATTCAAAACGTCCTATGTGTTTTTTTATATATTGTAGCAATAAATTCAAAGAAAAATTTTGATTTTACCGATTGATCCTCGGAAAGTCTTGCTGATGCCTGATGTCATATTCCACTAAACCAATGTAGGGTAAATGTTGGCTTCGGCACCCATTGACTGTTTTCGGCAACCTAAATTTAAACGTTAATTTCACTATGTTTTCCCATCAACGCACTTCCCTGAATGTGTCCAAACGATTGTTTAGCCTTTCAGCTTCAATCTGATTATATTTGAACGATCGAGCAATCCAGTAATGCTACATTTTTCTTCAAATAAAGCATACGCACTACAAAATGGGGTTGATTTCGAGTTGCCGATAATAGAACAGCTGGTTAACACGCAGTTCTAATGGGAAGGTTGCCGAAGAAAAAGAGGCTGCCGACAATAGTCACACTCACCTGAGAAGTTTGGAGCGTTGTAAAAATGCTTTCAAAACGTTTTGAAAAATTCTGTCCATTGGAATGGATAGAGAAGCAAGCAGCAGATGAATGTAAACAAACAGACACATCATATATGTGCGTGACGCTGAGAAAATGCTAGTAGAAGTGCAGACGCTGCTTAGATTGACGAGAATACGTAAATTCCCCTATATGCTTCACGTTGAGAGGAAAACAAGAATTGCAAAGACAAAATAGGGAATAATCAGAACATGATGAATATGGATTTGGAGATTATGGAGATTATAGGAAGTGAACTATTTATTGTTATTTGTTTTTCGTCGATCTTGTTTTCCGGTACCATACGACAGGTGGTGCAGTTTCGAACCCCTTTGGATACGGTTGTGTTTTAAGTTTGCTCTCTGTTTTGTGCGTGCGTTCACTTTCACAGTTTTCGGCTGCATTTGCCTGACTAGCGCTGGCACTCTGTCTCCCGGACGGTTATACGCGTGTGATTGGTAGTTTTCTCGCTTTCCGGGAAGTTTTAGAATCGAAAAAGAAAACGTGATTCATCATGTTTGCAAGCATCAGAAGAGATGTCGCTATCTGCGTTGTTTGATTTTTTCTCACGGACCAGAAGTTTGTGGCATCGCGAGTGATATTTTTTTATTTCAGTTCATTTACGCGCTGTAAGGTGCGAATAAACGGTATTCCGCTCATTAGATCTGTGACTCAGTTTTCCGTTGATTTAGATTCCATCGGAAGTTAAGCTTTTTCTTCTGCGGGAACGGAAAAGTCGGAGAATATTCTTGTTGTGCGGCAGATGATGTTCTGTGTATGATATGAAGTAAAAGTGGTACATCAGAAATAACTTGGTGCGATCCTTGAGATGATTCGTCACCTGTTCAAAAAAGTATTTCGACGCCACGATCGTTCCAATACCACTAGTTTGCAGGCGTCATTACTGGAAACATTAGATTTATATGGTGAGACTTTTCCATTATTAACATTTTATGTACCATTTAATATATGACATATTATAATCTGTTAACTTTATTGCTTCCATTTGAATAATGATTTATTGTTGAAATGTGTAATTGATAATGATTCAAGTTGAAAGGACATAGAGGTTTTGTGCCTACGGGAGAAGAGGTAGTAAAATTATTTTCACTCCCCTCAATCAATAAAAAAAATTAAAAAAAAAACACAACATAACTCCTTCCTTTCAATTACCTACGGGTGTGACAACGATGGAGAGTTCACCATGTTACATCTTCATTTTATTTCAGCAACATTATCTTCCAGCAGCTGCTCTGGACAGCAATTTCACCATTTATAAAAATGAAAAAACTACATTTGCCAACAACACTTACTGGGTGAATCCTATGGCTTATTTACCTTCCCTACAAACATAATTCCTAAATTCTCGAGACATTTATGAGGGGTTGTAGAGTTCTCTGCATCTCTCTTAAGTAAATCTATGAGAGAGTAATTATTTCTTACTTACTTTCTGTCCAGCAATAGATATCCGTCTTGCTCTTAATAGTTTTGAATTCGTACCACCTACGATATTGTGCAACTTGTTCGATTGTAATGCTAATGCTAATCTTGTTTTCCGTACCATCCGACAGACCATTTGATTTGATCTTTTTTAACGAGATTGTTAGCCACATTCAAGTTTAAAACAGGGTTGCTGACATTCAGTTGCTTGCAGTATACTTTTTTGTGATTATGAAATCATTAAATATTGATATGAAATTTTGTTTTTGTAAGTTACAAAAAGAGGTTGTAAAGTATATGTTAACCTAATAATTCCTCTTAATTTCACATTCTGAGAGTCACAATCTACAGTTTTATGAACACGGAATATTCACCCTTCATGAACAGTGAATATTCACTGATCATAAAATTGCGCCTTTCTGAAAGTGAAATTGTAACATGTGTCAAACACTTTCTTTATAATATCTTGTTGAGACTTAGAACTTCAACATATTATTTTAGCATCTAATGATTTCATAATTTCAAAAAATTTGTTTTATAGCAAATTATTGACATCATTTTCATTCTTCGGCAAAATAGATAGGGTGTAGGAAACCTTTACACCACTGCTGGCTATACAGTGCCCGTTCGAGTTTGGCACGTTTCCATTTTGGCAAGGTTTGATTTTGGCAACACGTCCGTTCGATTTTAGCACGGTTCAATTTTGGCAGGGTGCCAAAGAAAATAACGGTTTTTTTTCTAATTGTGCACAGAATCTTGCGAGAGGTGCGACTCTATCTTAGATGCAAAGAAGATTTTGTTTTCTGTCCTGAGATGTTTGCGTGATAAGTGATCAAATATTGATGAAGATTTTGTAGATTTCCGGCAAAAAGATGGATCGCAATGCGAGTAGAGAGATCAAGAGGCTTGAAATGTAAAATATTTTGCGTAGAATGATTAGCTAGCGTTAGATTTTTCGAGCATCTAGGATTGAGATTTAGATGTGTCGCTCCTTGATAATGTCACTTTTACTAAACAAAAAAAATGCTCATACCAAGAAGCAATGTTTGAAGAGAAATTTCCGATTTTTCTAAAATCTCCATACTGCAAAACAGCTTTATCCACCGCAGTTTGTATTGGTTCCGCATGTTTTGGTAACAGAGCTAATCAACTATAGAGGCAGAATAAGCGCAGCGCTGCAGTATCTCTCCTGGATTCTGG